TGAACTCGAAGCTCTTCGAACCGCTTCTGCAGTAGTCAACACAGAAGGCGGAAGGAACATTGAAGAAAACGATAATACTATTAGGGAACCTACAGCGCACAGGTCACCCCGTAATAGGACTCAAAATATTTCGGTAGAAATAACTCGTAATATGGAAGACACCCATCCGGAATCGGTCAATATCCCTTCGGACCCAGAGGAATTCCATTCTATAAACGGTAACCCCCCAATCGATCAATACCAGACCATTCCACTTGCGACAACCCCTGTCCGAGCTCCTTCGCATTTGCGAACACCCTTCGACAATGTTCCATTTTCGACCACTCACCCCGAACGTTTCCGGGGAGGCACATTCGACACTCACAAAGCCAACCCGCGTGTCTCGCAGGACATGTTGGCTGCCGACGTACGCAAATTAGATGTCAAACCACCCGAAACGTTCGACGGCCAAGGGCCGAAGGTAGAGGCATATGTAGCCCAAGTAAAACTTTATCTGGCTATTAGGGGAGGAACTATGAGTGATAGGTTTAAGGTATTATGGGCTGCCGGTTACCTAAGAGGTAACGCAGGAAAGTGGTGGCAGGCCTACTTCATTAAAAAGGAATCCGAACAGCCCTCTTGGTGTTTTCAACTGGAGGAATTCCTAGAACAGATTAGACGCATGTTCGGAGATCCTGATCGTCATCGCTACGCCGTTCAACGTCTAAAAGGACTTCGTCAAGACAAATCGGTATCCGATTATTATTCGTCGTTCTTGTCGATTTCCGCGGACATAGACTGGGACGACCGGGCGCTAAAGGACGCTTTCGAATCAGGCTTGTCGCGAGAAATACGCATAGCTCTCGCGAACCGCGAACACCAACCCAAAACCCTTCGGGACCTCGCCGAAGCTGCTATTAGCCTTTACGTACACCTCGACGGGGTAAAGGTATCGTCAAACGGTAATAACGGTTCTGGAGGAGGGTATCATCAGAATAAGGACAACACAAAATACAATTCGAGTAACAATAAAGGCAATTCGGATAGTACTTTCCAGAAATCTAAGTCAGGTCAGCAGAACACGACCAACGAGAGTAAGGAAAGAAAACCACAACACCCCAAAGCGAAAAGCGACAATGAGAGAAAGTCTTTGACTTTCAAGGAAAGGAAACATAGAAGGGATAATGGTCTGTGTCTGTACTGTGGAAGTCCAGATCACATGGTAATCAACTGCCCAGAAGCGAAGAAGCGTCCCACGCCAGCGACTGGGGCAAACCGGATCGGACTAAACAGTCTAACAATCGAAGGCCCCAATAACAATCAGGATAAGGACACGACGGAGAACAATCAAAGTTCACAAGAAGCGACGACCCACCGAGTCAGTTTCAACTCCATGATGATGGAACCCGTTCTGCCCTTACCCAGCTCCGATATGGGGTCTCCAGTATCCAAAGATCCCCACAAGCTTATCACTATCCCTGTTGTCGTACTCAGCAACGAGCAAGTCCCAACGCGAGCCATGGTAGATAGTGGTGCTACAGTGGACTTCGTAGACGAAGGATTCTTGGCCGAATTCGGATTCAAACCTATTAAAAAAGCTATACCGGAACAACTCCGATTACCAGACGGCACTACTCGCCTCCTGACGAAGGAGATACATTTTCGGGTACTACTAGGCGAAGGTTTCGAACCCTATGAGGCTACCTTCATGGTCACAAAGATCCACCCGGCACCAATCGTACTAGGCATGACTTTCTTGAACAAAATGAATCCGATTATCGATTGGGCTTCCCGAATTTTGCTACCTCGGGCGTCCACCTTGGATAACCACATTCAGCAATTGAATATCATCAGCCCCGAATCGTTTAATCAACATAACGATCCGGAAGACGTAAAGGGTGCGCTGTACGCAAGACAAGTACCAGAAATCAGCACACGCCCCAAAGATATTGTACCACCCGAATACTGGGAGTTCCTTGACGTATTCTCAAAAGGGGATGCCGATAAACTTCCTGAACACAGACCATTCGATCATCGCATTCCCCTTATTGAAGGGAAAACACCCACTTTCGGACCCATTTATTCCCTGTCCGCAATTGAACAAGACGCTCTCCGGAAATATCTAGAGGAAAACCTTTCGAAAGGGTTTATTACGCCATCCGAGAGCCCCGCAGGAGCTCCAATACTGTTTGTCAAAAAGAAAGACGGGAGCCTGCGTTTGTGTGTCGACTACCGTCGACTAAATGAGATAACAGTAAAGAACCGTTATCCATTGCCCCTAATCGGCGACCTTTTGGACCAATTGAAGAATGCAAAGATCTACTCCAAGATCGACCTTCGGGGAGCCTATAATCTATTGCAGATAGCAGAAGGGGATGAATGGAAAACGGCATTTAGAACGCGGTATGGCCTATTCGAATATAGGGTTATGCCGTTTGGGCTCACGAATGCGCCAGCCTCTTTCCAACACTTAATGAACCATACGTTTCGCGATATGCTAGATCGCTCGGTGATCATCTACTTAGATGATATCTTGATCTACTCTCCGGATATCGCGACCCACATCAAAGACGTTACAAAAGTGCTTGAACGACTCCGTCAACACAAGCTCTATGCTAAACATGACAAATGCGAGTTTCATGTTGACAGTGTTGAATTTCTCGGGTATGTTATCAAACCTGGAGGAGTGGAAATGGATCCCAAGAAAGAGGTTACAGTGGCGGAATGGCCAACTCCCAAATCGGTCAAAGACGTCCAATCATTTCTAGGCTTTGTCAATTTCTACCGGCGCTTTATCGGAAATTTCGCACATATTGCCAAGCCTCTACATGACCTTACACGAAAGGGGGTAGTATTCTCCTGGGATGAACACTGCGACGCAGCTTTTCGAGAACTCAAAAAGAAAGTTGGATCAGGGCCCGTTTTACGTCATTTTAACCCCGATTTGCCCTGCGTAGTGGAGACCGACGCTTCCGACTACGCACTTGGAGCAATTCTTTCACAAAGGGAGAATGACGTACTTCGACCTGTCGCTTTTGCTTCAAGGAGCATGATTCCAGCAGAACTTAACTACCCGGTTTCAGAAAAGGAACTCTTAGCAATTGTGTATGCCTTTAAAGAATGGCGACAATACCTAGAAGGAACTCAAATACCTGTCATAGTTTACACAGACCATCAAAGCTTACGGGTTTTCTTAACCACCAAACAACTTACTCGAAGACAAGCAAGGTGGTACGAATTCCTCTCAGAGTTTAACTTCACTATCCATTACAGACCCGGAAAGCAGTCTTCGAAACCAGACGCTTTGTCCCGCCGGGCGGACTACAAGCCGTCGGATAGTAAACAGTCCTCATTGTCTTCCGAACTGAACCCGTTCAATAACCGACAACTCCTCTCCAGTGAGCAATTATTATCAGCCATGGACCGGGAGCCTAAGAAGACTATTCGCGTTGATGAGGAGGAGGATCGGGAAGAGATATTGAGGAACGAGCATGGCTCTAAGCACGCCGGACACACAGGTTGGAGGCCGACATACAAGCGAATCATTCGCTACTGGTGGTGGCCGGGAATGAAGGAGGACATTCGGAAATATTGTCAAGAATGCGAGGTATGTCAACGTACAAAAGCAAGACGACAAGCCCCCGCCGGTTTACTCATTCCACTCGACGTCCCCGGAGCCCCCTGGTCGGAAATCACTTGCGACTTTATTGGTCCCCTCCCACGCTCAAAGAATTTCAATGCCATATTGGTGGTAGTAGACCGTCTAACAAAGATGGCAGTCTTCATACCTACAGTTACCACACTGTCGGCAGAAGATTTCGCAGAACTATTTATTGAAAAGATCTATACCAGATTCGGGATCCCTGATTCGATTGTCTCGGACCGCGGTAGCATATTTGTTTCCAGGTTTTGGAAAACCTTAACTACATTATTGGGAACAGATTTGAGGTATTCAACCGCCTATCACCCTCAAACCGACGGCCAAACAGAGCGAATCAATCAATGGCTTGAACAATACCTTCGCGTATACGTCAATACGGAACAAGACAACTGGAGTTCGCTTTTACATTTTGCAGAACTCTGCTACAACACGAACTACCATAGCTCAATCCAGATGTCCCCTCTTTCTGCTTACTCAGGGAGGGAATACCGAACCGACATGATGCAGCCAATTTTTGACAAGGCCACCGACTCACCCTCTCCACCAGCTATCGCACGTGTTAGTGCCCTAGGAAGATTACAGGAAAGGCTCAAGGAAAATCTTCGGAAGGCTCAGAAATCGTATAAACATCAGTACGACAAAGGGAGAAGGATAGCTAGTTTCGAGAAGGGGGAGAAGGTTTGGATAGACAGCAGGAACCTCAGAACCTTGAGGCCCATGAAGAAATTGGATAACAAATACATCGGTCCCTTCACGGTTCTAAAGAAAATCAACGACAATGCTTATAAAGTTGATTTACCCCCACATATGATCGCGAATGGTATCCATTCGGTTTTCAATGTGAAGCTATTATCAAAAGTTCAAGGGGAAATTCAGAATCCGCAGCCAGCGATGGTCGCATTACGAGAAGAACCCCAGGATTCTGAGAAGGACACTTACAAAATCGATAAGGTCCTTGCGAAAAGAACAATTAGAGTCTCCGGAAAAGGAAAGAAGGAGGTTCAACTGAAAATCAAATGGGTTGGCTACCCAGTAGAAGAAGCTACTTGGCAACCCATGGATTCGATTAGTGATAATCCCAAAGTCAAGGAATACTTGAAGCTTTGCGAAATGCGGAGAGCCGTTGCCAACGATGTGAACGAGGATTTCGTTCCCATTCTTCCGGCAAAGAGACAAAGAAAACCGACCGAACGGTCGCGGTTTTCGGAAACCTATTAGGTTTCCGGAAACACCTAGAAGCAAACATACTTCGACAAGACAAGAAAAGGGATCACATGTTTCACAAAATCTTTTAGATACTCTACAAATTCGTTTCTCCAAAATAGATTTCATTATACACACACCCCGCCAATCCAACAGACTATTCGGGAGACTCCCATCGTACTAGCCCATCGTCATCAGTGTGAGGAGAATCCTCACGGGCCTTTCCCTTTCTCGTCTTCGCCTTCTTTGCCCTGGGAGTAGACGAAGTCCCTGCGGGCAAGGGGGAAACGGTTCTCTTGGTGGCCGGTCGGGGAGGCTCAAATTGCCACGATCCGACTGCGATATCGTCATCTAGATAATACGACGACCACTCTCCGAAAGCACGACCGGGAACTCGCTTATCCTCACCTTGGATTTTTGCTCCGTCAACGGCCTACTTTGTTAGCGGAAAGCCCATCCCGGAAATATAATAGCCTACTAGAGCTACTTTTTCCACCATAGCATACGCAATATCCACATGTTCAAAATCGCGATTGGCCGGCTGATGTAGATGATGGCCAGCTTCGGCCAAATGGGCCAAAGCCGAATCGAGATGGGGAAAGAGAGCAGAGAATTGCGCCATCGAGAGTTTCAACTGGGACCGAGGTCCAACGCGGGAGTCCACACATAGATTACAGGTGCCCCTATCAATGAGGCACCAAAAGCAACTTTCCGCTCAGCGACTACCCCTCACCGAGAATGCGTAATGGACTTACTGGCCGGCGACCCACACTTTACGAGAACCCGAGAACCTTACAATTGGGACTAGGCAGTGCCACTTGTTCATCTTCGAGGACCACCTACCCTTTCGTGTAATTAGCATGTCCGAACAATTTGAGCATGGTTTAGCCAATCTACCGATAATTTCGCCTTTCGTTTTCAACAGGTCTATAATCGGCTTGACCTTCTCCTTGGTTGACGCGGCTTTCAAATCGGACCACGCTTCGAGGTACTTTAGAAACCCCTACCCCATTTAGCGTTTCGGAAAGGGGCTTGAGAGGAAGCTTACCTGGGCGGTTGGACTTTCTGTGGTAATTGGAACGATTTCGACATCGTTATACGCGTTCTGATGACCCCCTTCTTTCGGAACAATAACCTCGCCATCCTCAATGTAAGGAGCCCCAACGGAATCTGAAAGCCCCCTCCCCGCAGCTCGCGCCAATGGAGTTCGATAGGCGACCTTTGACCCCGGAATTGGATCAGCTTCCGCGGGATGTTGCACGGGCACGCCGGCAAACGGGGTCCTGGCATCGGGATTGTTCTCACCCCGCAGAGGACTGCGATCACCGGTTCCCGAGGGCGGAGGCCGAGCATTCTCATTGTCGGAAGCCCCTTGTCGTAAATCATTTGGCCCCGAAACCTACCACCGAAAAGAATATCGTCAGCCATGAAATAGCGCTTTTAGGAAAGTTCTCACAGGAGCTCGAGGAGGAAACGGGGGACGACGATCGTCACTGCCGGTGTCAGACATGGTAAATCACGAGATAGAGAATCTAGATGAGGTTCGCAGCAAAAAACTCAAGGATGTTAGCAAAAGAAAGTGATGAGGGAAAAGGAAGAAGAAGAGAAGAGGATACAGGAAAGTGGATCTCGAGATCAGACAGTGTGATATTGAATTACACGTCATAATCTAGGGCGTTGGCTCGATCACAACATGCGCCCTCACCACCATCATTACTGTCCTCACTACCATCATTTCCGATAAAAAGGGCCACATGCCACTTTCGATTTAGTAGAATTTTGTTTTTCTACAAGACTAGACGACGTCGAGACGACGTCTACCGAAGGGGGAGAGTAATGTCAGGATCACGGGTACCCCTAGACGGGTTCCTCAAGAGTCGTACGCAGAAGTCGTACTCCGCCTACCCGTTCCCGTCCCCGTCTCACTAATCCCGCTACGGCGTCCTCCGTTCTCCTGTCCTACCTAATCGCTACTTCTTTACCATGCTTTACTTTTTCTTCATCTCCGTGTCCCTCATCTATCTCCGTCTTCCTTCGCTCTTACACCCCATATCGCTTTCCACATTTACTCTGTAGATTCGGTATCACTCCGCTCCCATTTTAGTATATAGAAACATCCCTTTTTCGTAGATGTCTTGTCGAATGTATTTTCTCGTCATTTAGCAATCTTTTGCCACTCGATCTCATCGACTTATAGTCTCTTCGATCCACTACATCACTTGACTATAAACTACATCACTAGGTTTGTTCCCTACGAGGCCCTATATCCATAGCTCATAGACGCAGACTATTTTCAACGTCTGGTCCTGACATCGAGACCGTGAGTGACAAATCACATTCCCTTTGATAAAACTCTCCTCTGCTCCATCTGTCAATGAATCATCATTTCCTCCACTCACGTACACTTGAGAACACACTCACTCGCACATTCCTACTCGACCCTCGCTAGCTAGGGCCATTGCTTGGGAGCATTTCATTTCCGGCTGCAAGTATTCCTCTTCTCAAGTCAAATCACGCTTCAGTTCCTCTCTTCGACTTGACATTTGTTCACTGTAATCACTCAGTACTCCACGTTGTACCCGGCCGGGCATTGTGAGGGGATTTGTAGGAATTGGCCAAATTTTCGTCGGGATTAAGCTTAATTCGAGGTCCGTCGTGATTATCCAGTTTGGCACATTTGATGTTTGTTGCGTTGGACAACGATGAACGACTCGCTGTTAACACCGCTGTTGATATCTCCCGAGCAACAATTCATAGACAGCTTCGTACTGGAAGCCAGGCTGCAGAGAGACATCGATGTGTTATCGCTCAGCAGGTGGGATACGGATGGGGATGGGATAACGACGACGACGACGACGACAACGGCGACAACAACCCCCCTCCCTCTCCGTCATCCTCTCCCTACTGAGGATCTCCCATCACCCTTCGTCATCACAAGGTACCGTGGCCAGATTGTCTCCCATCATCTCCTCTCTTGAAATACTCCACCACACTGTTTCACCTCGGCCTCTCCCTCTCCACCTCGAGTCTCGATACCAATCACCATTGCAAACCCATTCGCCAAAGACTACCTTCACCGTGGCAGCTATCTCTGACACCATCGTCGCTCTCGGAGCTTGGAAGTTGGCCGTCCGAACCCGTGGACAGATCCTGGGTCGGATAGTCGGTGTCAAACCTCCTTGTTCGTTCACTCGTACGGTAAACACGAACAAGGATGAGGGGGACGGCGAGAAATGGCTCAATGCGTTTTTACTTTGGTGCAAAGTGGATGATCTTCCACGTGAGATATCTGAACATGATCACTCAAAAGACGATGACGACCACGATGTCGTCGTCAATTTGGACAAGAGGGAAAAGAGAAAGAGAAAGAGGGAAGGATATGTTGAAGATGTTGATGATGATCACGATGACGTGGACACGAATGAAATAGATGGTTCGAGGGAAGAGCAAGGTAAGAAAGTAGAAGAGAATCTCGAGAATAACGTTGTCGTGGTGGTGGTGGTGGTGGTGGTGGTGGTAGAGCGACTTTGGGAGGGTTTGAATACCTTGGTCATCCAATCGAAACGCTCGATATTTATTGGCGGCTCATCAACCCAAGTGGAACAAGACAAGAGGATCAAAGGTGATTATACGTCGTCTTATCCTCCAGGTACGTCTGTCCTTTTCTTTTCTTTTCTGTTTAGAGATGGATGTTTGTTTTCCATCTCACCCAATTGACAATATCTCTCTCTCTCCGTACAGTCTTCTCTCTCTCTCCCTATCAAGTCTTCTCTCTCTCCCTCTATACAGTTATCTCTCATGAAATAACTCTTTCACAATTACCGTTCGGTCAACACTCTCTCAGTTCTGATCCTCTACAGGTTTGTTTGGGATGGAGGGGATGATGAAAACTAAAGGGAGAGGCAGATGTGTGGTAGACGGACAAATTCGCTCATGGACAGACTCCATGAAGAGAAGGTTTCCAATCGTCATTTTCCCAAACACAAACACAAATATAAACCATCATCGACTCAATCGCCGTTCCCCATTGTTTTGATCATGACCGAGTCTCTACTCCTCCCTCGACCCATAGGCATGATGGCAATAACAACAATGCCAATGTCAATGTCGACCCGACTGAAACGTCCAACGTCAAGGGGAAACAGAACAAAAATCAGGTATCCGTTCGAGGTCAAGGACGAGACGGAAGAAATTTCATTGGGATAGGTAATCTCATTGGATTGATAGTCGTTTCTCATCCAACTGTCGTCCAACAACAAAATCCCTTGACCGATAACAATGACACGAGTCGGAAATGATATAACAAGGATACGACCGCGAAGGATAAACGGTTCGAAAATGAAACGATATCCGATTATAATGATAATCGAGTTGATCCAAAAGAAAAACAAGGTGGAAAGGAAAATCTTCTTCTTCTTCTTCTTCTTCATCTGCTCCTCCATGTACATTTGCTTTTTCCCTCCCGGCTGATTACAGCGTGAGACATTATATTCTAACTGTCCCACCGTCGTCCCTTCTTCACCGTCTATCCCTCCTCGAACAAACCAGTCCGAAGGTGACGGCGAGGCGGGTTCGCAACGTTCAAACAAGACGATGGGAGGTCATGAAAAGTTGGAGAGTTTTGAGGGAACGTGTATACGAGTGCGTCCTTTTCTTTCTTTCTTTCTTTTCCCCTCTGTTGTAAATCCCTTTTCTCTCTCTTTTCGGTTTGGTCTTGATTCTCTTTTGTCTTTTCTTTATCCATTGCTCGCCCTCTCGTCTCTATTCATCGCTCACCCCCTCCTCTTTCTCCATCGCTCACCCCCTCCTCTTTCTCCATCGCTCACCCCCTCCTCTTTCTCCGTCGCTCACCCCCTCCTCTTTCTCCGTCGCTCACCCCCTCCTCTTTCTCCATCGCTCACCCCCTCATCTTCCTCCATCACTCACCCTTTCGGCTCCTGGTGGTGGAGAAAGCGGGGCAACAATGCGATGTGCACGAGTAAGCGATCGGAAAAGTTTCTATCCCAACAAGGAGTGATATTGAAAATCGAGAGAAAAAGAGAATTCCAGGGTTAGGATCTGACCATTCAAGATGATGGTCAAATACCTACAACATAACATCTCTTTTCTGTTTGACCCGGCGACGTGGGGCTTGTGTGGATATAAAGATCCTTCTCAATGGCGAACTCGGGTGGAACGTCATGTGAGTTTTTTGTTTTTCGTCTTTGTTTCTTCTCATCCTTGATCTTGGTCATATGAATCGAATATACTCTTGATACGCCGGGAACGTCTACCACTCCTTGCCTTTTCTTCCCTTTCTCCCTATTTCCCTGACCTTTTCCCCTTGCCTTCTTATCTGCCCCTTTCTAGCCGACTCCTCCTCTGACCTCACCCTCGCAAGTTGTGAAGATTGTCGAAACAAAACCTCTGACACATCCAGTTCACCATACCCGTCGATCTATCCCTCTCCGGAACCTCTGGAATATTCTCATTGTCAACGTTGGACAGGTTGGTGAACGCAAACCCGGATTCTCCCCATCTGTTCATCGACCCGAGATCATATCTTGTGTCGTCGGGTACCCTCGGGATGGAATCGCAAACTCAGTGGGAAGTGTTGACGGATTGCTATCGTGATTTGAGAGGGTTTTGGGAGTTTGGTCAGTCAAGGAAGGTTGATACCTACACGATATTGTTATTCTTGTTCTTATTCGTCTGCTCCTCGTTCTTATCCCCGTTCTTCTCGTCCTTGTTCTTGTTCAACCCGTGGCACGTCGATGAACGAGATGGATCAAGTAGGATATGAGATGAAAACCAAAAAGATCAAACTCAGAGTGTTATCACCTGACGATCATACCTACAATCACAATTACAACATGACATGACATGATGTGAAGGGAAGGGAGAGGACGGAAAGCAAGTCAAGTTTGGGCTTGGTGGAAAGTAAATCAATGATATTCATCTTTCATCATTCATCTACAGGTCTCGTATATGTATCAAATCTCGTTCACTCCCTTACTACTGACACTTCATATGACCATTACATTACATCTTTCTCAGACACGGACGTGAACCGCCCATCCCCATGGTCGTCCCATGCTCCGACGGACTTGACACGGAGGGAAGACCGACTGGACGGATGTGATAGTCGGTGGGTGAGATCGGTCAAGATGACATGGATGGTTTTGGAGAGAGAGTGTGAACTGCGGGTTTGTCACCGGGGGTTGGTCTCGCCGTTTCCGCCGGGTCAAGCGGTCAGGTGAAAGAGTCAAGGTGAAAGTTTACTTCGAGGGCTGAAAGTGGGAGTCAAGGGCTATTTGGAGGGCGAAGGTTCGGAAGAAAGAGGCAAAGGAAAAGAAAGAAGAGAAAAGAAAGTACTGACCGTTTTCTAATTGGGACTTGGACAGACATGCATGTCTCGGTCGGTAAATCCCCGGTGAGACACCAAATGATATACTCGCTCATCATCATCATCATCATCATCATCATCATCACCATCACCATCACCTCCATCTCCATTTCCATCTCCATTTCGAGCGGTCACCATTGTCGGACGGGTGAGGATTGAGGTGTCTATTAAATTTGTCTCCGATCTCATCACTTTCCTTTCAACTCATCCGGGGGGGAGGGGGGAGGGTCGGCTGGAGACTGATTGGATAGAGAAGAGGGTAAGGGTTCATTGGCCGGAGTAGGCGTGGCTGGTAAAGAGAGCGTGGAAAGAGAGGATAATGAAGAAAGTGATGGAGGGATGGGAGGGGAGCTAGGTGGGAGAGGGCTGAGAGGGGATCTTGAGGAGCGAACCGGTAATCAAGCGGTTGTGGAGGGGGAGATGGTAGACACCAAGTCGAGTTCTGGCAAGGTCAGCGTGAGCGTTCAGTGAGTCAGTGAGGTAGTACATTCGAGCTGGCCTGGATAGCTTGTGTGCTACTTGACTCGTTTGGTATGTTAGGCTGCTCCTTTGACATGTTAGAGCTCTGAGTAGATGGTCAAAACTGGGGATATGAAGATGAGTACGGGTGAGTAGTTGTCAATTGAAAGACACGACAAGAGATGGTACAGTGTAAAGTTTCGACAGCATGGAAGTATTGACGTCATCTTCCAATTCCTGAAATGGTGTCATCTCCGGATACAGTACCACGTCATCTCCGATCAGACGTCATCTCTGAAACGACGTAGTCTGTACGTCATTCCTGATAGAAGCTTGGATGTCATGATGGTCCGTGCGCAAGACTTCATAACACTTGAGCCCGGACCGTCACCTTCCAGACTAGGCGCGTCGGACAAGAGCAAAGGGTGCGTTATCAACCTAACAAGCAGTATATGATCAACTCATCCAAAGTGGGTCTCAACAAGGTGTAGCCGTGTAGCTAGTAGCTCATAGTCCGAAGACTAAAGTTCCTCAGACTCACTCTTCCCCCCCAGGGTAGCAAGTTGAAGAGGGAACCTATATCTCCAGTAACTAAATCTCTCAACCTATCTCTTCAATCCAAAATGGACAAGCACCCTTCGAAAAGGACACGGTACCTTTCACGATCCTCTGGAGCCTGCAACTACTTGCCAGTGAAGGGGTTATCTTGATCTGCAACTCGGAGAGAACCTCTTATTACTCTTCCATCATCTTCATCTGGAACTCCGAGAAGGATCTCCTATGACTCTCCCAAACATTTTGGAAACCCTCCGCAATCGCCACCGCTCTCGACATCGTCATCGTCATCGTCATCGTGATCCCGATCCTGATCCTGATCCCGATCCCGATCCCGATCCCGATCCTGATCCTGATCCCGATCCCGATCCCGATCCCGATCCCCATCGTCATCCCCACGATCGCGAGATCGATAAGAGAGACATCCGTGCGTCCTCTCTTCTCACCCCTCCCCTCCCAAGCGATGGGGCCATCGTCTCGTAATGGCCGTATCGTGTTTGAGCCAGCCGATGAGATCTGACACGTCGAGATCCCTCGAAGCGTCAGCTGGTCATTCATGTTAACAGCTGTGCAAAAGTGGGAATCTCCGATTGCATCCGTGCTGGTTGTCCTATTTCCAACAATTCATGCATGGGATCGTGATCGTTCAGAGATCCATGAAGGAGGTTCTCGGGTTTTGTCAGCGACCCGACTCGGAATGGAAATGGTGCATTGTATATCCATGAGTCATGAGTAACGGTAAAACATAGGGTGAAGAAGGTAGGTCGTGAATAACGTTGACGTTAGAACGTTGGGTGAAAAGAAGGTAGGCCGTGAATGACGTTTAAACGTCAGGTGAAAAAGAAGGTAGGTCGTGAGGAAATTCAAATTTACCATGGTACAAACCACATGACCTCTTCCTTGTCCAAACCTCTAGACTTTGGGATACTCTGTCCAGGAAGAAATCCCCATCTTTCTCCGACTGACAACCGAGTTCGACGATACCGGAGAAACGCTAAACTGATGATCGTCTCTCGAGTTTCAGGGTGGGACAAGTGGGTTTATCGGATAGCAAGTCGATGATGTACCCAGATCCAGATCCGGACCCGGGGTTGACTTGGACGGCCGTCAAGACGGGATTGATGATGGCACCATCTTGAGAAGCTGACCTGACGCCTGCGATGACATGTTGGGCCAGACGACCCAAGAGACCGTAAGAGGAGGGGGAGGGAGATGAGACGGGGTCAGACCATACAGGGTTGGATTTCAAGTCTGGGAGGGATGAGAAACTTATGAGGGTGCTGGAGGTGGGATGAGAAGGGTCTAGAGCGGCTGGAAAGGAGGGTCAGCGCTGGTGATAGTCATAGTCATGGTCATAGTCATAGTCATGGTCATAGTCATAGGGTTGGGTGGTTGTTGTTGGTTGTTGGTCACTCACCGGATATGTTACTCTTGAACCAAGTGTCGTATAAAGCCGTCACGCTGGTCGACATGTTGTACAGGTTTTGAATATTCATCCACCAGTGGGGGATGGCTAATGGCTGATGACGTAAAGATTGCGATGGACCACCACCACCCCCGTTCATTCACTTTGACGACTTTGTCCTAGACCTGTCCACGTTCATCCTACCTCGATCCAATCTCCGTCGCGGACCTCCATCTCACCACTCCCACCACCGTTGATGGCCAAAGGTATCAAGATGCCCCTGATGATGATCCGACCGCAATCGCACCTCAAACCGTGATATCATTCGGCACAGGCGATAGAGGTGTAGTGGATAAGGTGTAGTGGATAAAGGTCTAGTCGATAAAGGTCTAGTGGATAAAGGTCTAGTCGATAAAGGTCTAGTCGATAAAGGTCTAGTGGATAAAGGTCTAGTCGATAAAGGTCTAGTGGATAAAGGTCTAGTCGATAAAGGTCTAGTCGATAAAGGTCTAGTCGATAAAGGTCTAGTCGATAAAGGTATAGATCACGACCAAATGGAAGATGACAATGCGTGTAAATTAGTAGTGAGCTCTATAATCTCTTTCCCACACCTTCACTGCTCAGAATATAACAGACCGCCATACACCACGTCTCAAAGCGTGGAGATACAACACAACGATTGATTTTGCAGTATCGACATGGTTCTAGGTATCTAACACACTGGTCAGCTTTTGGGAATTTGGAGAGGACGAAGCAAAAGAAACGAGATCAATAGGATCAACGAAAGGAGAGGAGACGAGACGGAAAGGATCGAGGAAAGGAAAGAAATGGGATGGAGGGACAGAGACAACGCGAAAACCCACCTGAACAAAACAGAAGGTATGCATAAAGTCTGAGCATGCTTTGGTTTCTCCCTCAGCTGTCTTCTCGCTTTACTACTCGACTTTGTCGTTGTGGGTCTATCTGTCGTCGAGACGGACATGTAATGGGCGCCTTCGTTCGGACAGGACGTAGGCGAGATGTGGGATGTGGGATGTGGTCAAACAAGGACAAACAGATGGGACAGAGACGGATGGTGATAAAGGAGGAGGATGTGCGTATGGAAAAGAAGCTTGAAATCGACAGAGTTGATTCACAGTCGATTGATCTAGTTGGGTTATTCTCACCACTGAAAATGGAGATGATGACTTTGGGGATGAGGGTGATAACGAGTTTGTCTGTAGGGGTGAGGAAGAGGAGGGCGAGGAGGAACCAGAAGGGCACGGGGAAACCCAAGAATCAAAAGCGTAGATCAGGACGGGAGAGAGTGTTTGTAAAAGGGGTGAGCATAGAGGGTCAACTTGATAGTAATCTGATAGGTTGGTTCTGGTTTTGTCCATGTTGGGCTTGAACTTTGACATGTCGTCCATTTGATGGTCCCCTCGCTCATCCCCTTTCCCCACGACATGGTCCCCACCATTCACCATCCCCACACAATCATTTGCTTCATCACTCACCGTCCCCATCTCATCGACCAAACCATTCCCTGCTAACACTGACCGCTCATCCCCCTTGACTCGTTTGTTGTATCCCGTGCAAAAGGGACCGAATTCTTGATTCATCTCAACGTCCGGGAAACAGCGACGGGTGGGACTATCCGATGTGGGTCGCGTCCGTTTCTTCGTGCTGGGTATGACCCGAGAACGTGAAGAGTGCTCCGGGTGAGCGACACCACTTGGACCGGCCAGATGGTAGGTTTCAGCACCAGGCGCACCATGGTTGCAGGTAGAACGGATATCTTGAGGTGGAGCAAGGGATCCAACATGTTCAGCAGATTCTGTTGGCTCGCTTGGATTCTGGGATCGGAACGGGAAATGGTATTCTTGGCATTGGTATTGGTGCTGGTATTGGTATTGGTATTGTGTTGGGTGTAATGATTGAATGCATAAAGAGAGAGAGAGAAACTACGTCTATGTATACGGGTTAATTGACCTATTGTCAGGACCAGACGTCGGAATAGTCTGCGTTGATGAGCTACCGCTATGAGGCCTTGTAGGGAACAAACCTAGCCATGTGGTGTATCGAAGAGATCTCTGTAGATCGATGAGATGTATGTCAAGTGATATATCTAGGAGAACACAAAATACATTCGACAAGACCTCGTTGAGAAAAGACTACATCTATATACTAAAAGGATTGCAGAGTGATACCGATATGGGGCATGCGTGGTTCAAAAAGAGTTTGTGGTGGAATAGCGAACGAAGAATGATGAATAAGGTAGAGACGGAGATGTAAAAAAGCGTAGCAGTGTAAAAGGAATGGTACTAGGTGTAGTATCACCCGGAGTGACCCCGGTTGCGGGAACCGGACACGGAGGCGGGAACTGTAGATGTAGTACGACTACTGAGTCAGGTACCCGTGATCCTGACACTACACCCGTCCTGCAGAGACTCGGGCTTCGGGCACCACCCTAAAAGGCTACGGGCACCACCTGCCACAAACCCTGAGTTCAGGCACGTACCACCGGCGTTACTGAAACGCCGACCACACGACGGACATGAACTCGCCACTGATCGGGGTTTCAGTAACGCTGCGACCTCTGCTCACTCTTCTCTTACATCGTCAATGTCATTATTAGCTATACCATGTCATTTCCGGTCATTGTCCATGCATTCTCCTATCTATCAATGTCCAGGAGGGTAATATGAGCCATAGGGATGTCTAGAAGAGCCCTGGGAGGGATAGGGAGGCCAATATTGAGAGGACAGAGGAGGGAGAGTAGGTGGAAGAGGGGGGGGTGGTAGGTACCTCTCCTCAGGAGGATAAATGTCAAAAAATGAGGGTACCTGTTCATTAGAGACCCCCCATTGGATACAGCCGAAAATGCAGTATTAGAGACTCACACTCGGTGGATATTGGCCGTTTCCTGGTGTCTCCTGGACCAATCAGCTTGCAGGAAACTTTTAGAAGTAAAAGAGTAAAAAGGGAGTGAAAATAGTGAAAATTTTCGAGATCGTGGGGCCATTATAGACAGAGACAGAGCAATATAGCCAGGAATGACTGCAGGACAGAGAGGGGGAGAAGGAGGGAAGGAGAAATGTGACAATCATATGAGAAACCCACCGAATAACCTGTCCTAGTGATCATTTCTCCTGTCCTCACCATCCTGACCTCTGTCCTCACCATTCCAGGCCGATTCTCCTTCTGCAGGCCGATCCTGGCCGTCTCTCTCTCATCTCTCTCTTTAATACTCCTGGCCAGGTCAAGAACCGTCTTCCTGAGCTCAGAGATCTCTTGCTGAACTGCAGTGTTAGTTCCTAACACTGAACCCTCTGTCCAGGTCGTTTCTCCAGCATCATACGCCTTTACCTCGCGATTATAGGTGCTACGGGGTAACAACGAATCGAGAGGACTCTATCGAGTTCGACGGATTAGGACAGAGGAAAGCGGGAGTTGGAGGCAGTGCTGCAGTAGGTAGGGACGGGTTTTCCCTTTTCGAGATTTCCCCACTGGGTTTGCTCAAAAGCGGTTTTTCACCTGTCCGAGTATGTACATAGACGCTTGCAGTAGGAACTGAGAGGAGGACACGGATACCTGTAGACAGTATATAGTACAATCAGCAAAGTACCAACTTTGCTGATTCTTCAATATCATTCTTTGGCTACATCGATTGCAGAGGAGACACGATCCATTAGCACCAGAGCCCCTAGATTTCCACGAGACCTCCATCGAGTTCGACCCAACCTGCGACCTAGTCGTCGTGTTTCCAGTACCGTTACAAGTTGAAGAATCAGCCTTACGCACCTTGGGTCGAAACGGAGAGTACTGTATGCTCACCAGAGGGAAAGCGCGGAAAATGATACCAGAAAAAGAGGAGTTGAAACAAGGGCTGGTCCCAGAGGAAGAAATACCAACAAGTTCTTCGAGAAGTACCATTTCACATGATCTCACTTCTACTACCACTACCCCAGATCCGCTAAATGAATTATCGCAGCAGTTGTCACAATTGTTAGCCATTATGACGATGCAACAAAAGGAACAAAATGCATTAAGAGAAGAACTGGCTACGATGAAAGCTGACCGACAGAACCAACAGATACTCACATCGAAAGGGGCAAGTTTGATCGAAGTCGAAGAAAACAAGCCGTGTTTGGAGCCAAAACTTACCAGCAACGAACGAACAGGAAGAACCAGGTGTGCGGATCCACCTACCTTCAGTGGAGAACGAGGAGAATTGGACAACTTCCTTGCAGCATGTCACATGAACTTCGAATTCAAAGGGGCAGAGTACGCCACCGATCGCAGAAAGATCCTGTTCATGTACGGGTATCTTCGAGGCACCCCTCAAATGCTTATAACCCCGGCCATAACCAATCCAAGTATATGGAATTCGACCGAATGGCTAGAGAGCTACGACAAATTCATCCAGCATTTACGAACTCAATTTGGAGACAGTAACATGGCAGGTACGGCTATGAGGAAATTGCAGGAGTTAAGACAGACGGATACGGCCGCCGAGTATTTTGCCAACTTTGAACTTTGGTCCACACACCTTGGAAAGGTACCCGATGCCATGAAAATCGCCTCAGCCATACAGGGCCTGAAGGAAGAGCTACTGAAAGTGGTAGTGGTAAATAACACCGATCCTCGAACCAAATCGGACTGGATCTATTTCAAACAACATGTGATAGGGACTGAGGAGAACCAACGGATGGCTGAAACGATGATTGCGGCGAATCGATGGGCTGCTAGACGCAAACATGAGACGACCTGGCTTCCCCCTCGATCGAATTCGATACGATTGGATACTAGTCCGCCCAACCCGGTAGAACGCCACTCACAATCGACTGGTAGAGGACCCTTGCCTGGTGGAAAACCAGGGATGATGAATTATGGTCTACCAAATGACCCTCCGGTCACTTGGACAGAGGACGGAGGACGTCTCAGCGAGAACGAAATGACTTGGAGGAGGGAGAACCGACATTGTCTCAAATGTAGAAGTCCAGAACATTATGCCAACCACTGTCCGAATGGAGGAAACGCGAGAAACAGTATTAGGGGATCCCCAAATCCGCATAACTCACCGATTCCTAGTGGATCGAATTCGATCCCAACTGGATCCAAAGGGCCATTAGTTTGAGGAATGGCGGTGACCTTTGAAGAAGAGGGAAACGACTACCTGGCCTAAGTGATGTGACCACTTGCGGCCAGGATCTGCCCGGATCGCAGAGAATTCAAATACCAATAGATCTCAGTAATGACTTGGCCATAATATATATAAAAATACAAACAAAGAAAGATACCCTACAGATTGGAATGTTAATCGATACCGGGGCTACAGGAAGGTATGTGCAGCCGGCCTGTCCATTATACCATCTATTCCCAAAGAAACAATATCAGGTACCACGTAAAATTAGGTTCCTGGATGGAACTACCGCGACCTTAGTGACCGAATATGTAGAAGCAGAATTAGATCTAGGAAAAGGACTCAGGATTGCAACTCGACTGGATGTTATGGCATACGAAGGACCAGAAATACTAGTAGGACTAGATTTCTTGAGACAGTTTAGGGCAAGGATCGATTGTGGAAAGGGACTGATCGAATTCGACGGAATTGGACGAGATACTGGTTGGAAATACCCAAGATTAGAAGAAGGATTAATAAGAGGAGCAACACTGGAGAAAGGGGAGGACGAAATGAGTGAGGAGGAACTACGACAAATCATACCGACACAATGGCACCAGTACCTCGAATTATTCAAGGTAGAAAGAGCAAGAAGACTACCACCAAAAAGAGAATGTGACCACGAAATTGAATTAGTAGCAGGGGCTGAACTGAAACCAGGACCAATTTACCAACTGGACGAGCATGGGGATGCTTTCCTGAAGCAATGGATCAATGATGGACTGACTAGTGGACATCTGCGAAGAAGTAAATCGCCCTATGGGTCCCCAGTATTCCTGGTCCCCAAGAAAGGAGTCATTCCCTATCGAGTAGTTACAGATTACCGGGCACTTAACAAGGTAACCATCAAGGATTCATACCCAATGCCACTCATCTCGACACTACTCGATCGACTTCAATTAGGAAGGATCTTCACTAAACTCGATTTGAAAGGGGCTTACCAGTTAGTCAGAATAAAGGAAGGAGATGAACATAAAGCTGCCTTACGAACAAGATACGGCAGTTTCGAGAGCACAGTCCTAAGGGACGGGTTGTGTAATGCACCAGCCACCTTTCAGAACTTTCTACAAGACATGTTTCACGATCTACTTGATGAAGGGGTAGTAGTTTATATCGACGACATCACGGTATACTCCGACACGATCGAAAACCATCAGATAATTGTCCAAAAGGTGTTAGATCGACTACTTGAAAACGATTTGGTCGTCAGTCCGAGGAAATGTGAATGGAGTTCAAATGAAGTGAAGTTCCTGGGGTATGTAATAGGACACGAACGGATCGAAATGGATCAAGAAAAGGTGAAAGCTATTCTAGAATGGGGAGAACCCATGACAGTCCGGGATACTCAAGTGTTCTTGGGCTTTGCAAATTTCTATCGGAGGTTTATCAAGGGGTTTTCGCATATTGTGGGACCTCTCACACGATTGACCAGGAAGGATCAGGCTTGGAACTGGACACAAGAATGCCAAAAGGCTTTTGACGATCTAAAGAAAACATTCACCACAGCACCGGTACTTCGACATTTTGATAGAACCCGACCGACTTGGATCGAAACCGATGGATCCGACTGCGCGATAGGTGCGATAGCGTCTCAAAGATTCCCTCACCCATCAATAAGGGGAACCACCGAACTTCACCCCGTTGCGTATTGGTCTCGAGCAATGACACCCTGTGAACTAAACTACACGGTAGGAGAGAAAGAATTACTAGCCATCGTGGACTGCCTGGTCGCCTGGAGGCCCTACTTGG